ATGCCACAAGGCAGAACTTTAGCAAAGGAATATAATATATTCTTCCATAAAAACTGTTTTACTTAAACAATGTTAACCTTAAGTGAAAATATTAAGTAGGTATACCTACCAATAAGCATTTCATAAATAATTTATTCAGTTCAGCACACATATCCTGATCAAAACCAGAAGGAGAATTTAGACCAGTCCCAACTGCAGTTCCTCCAATTGCCAACTCACAAATAACTGGTAATATGCGTTGAATGGATTGCACACAAAATTCTATATGTGACACATAACCACTAAACTCTTGTCCAAAAGTAATTGGCACGGCATCCTACAAGAAATAGTTTAAAATCAATTACTTGCATGTGGGTTCTGCCAATCTTTATAATATGCCCAAATTCGTTAATTTTTCTATTAAAGGAGGAAATCAAATGCTTTAGTGACGGAAGAAGATATAAAGTTAAAGACTTTGCAATCGCGATATGCATTGCTGTTGGAAAAGAATCATTTGAACTCTGTCAAAAAAGAGACTACAATGATAAAATAAGAGTAACCTGACTGCAGTTCACATGATCATTTGGATGAACAATACTTTTTTCCCCACGCCTTCCACCAATAATTTCTGACGCGCGGTTAGCTATAACTTCATTTACATTCATGTTAGTATGCGTTCCGGAGCCAGTTTGCCAAATAACCAGAGGAAATTCATCGTCAAATTTCCCTATGTAAATTTCATGACAAGCTTTTTTAATAGCTAAAGCAATTTCCATTGAAATTAATTGCCGATTTGCATTAACTGAACACGCAGCTTCTTTGATCATGGCAAGAGCATAAATCACTTCAACCTTACTCCATAAGAAACATAAAAAATTACTGGCATCTTGTCATGAGGATACATTATATTAAAATTCCGTTTGGATCTCTCCGTTTGAGCACCATAATAACGATCAAAATCCACTTCTATTGAACCCAAAGAGTCGTACTCCAAGCGACTCATTCAGAAAAAGATGCGCGAAAGATGAGCGAGTGGACATACATTGCGCGTGAAATGCAGTTAACTTGAACAAAATTAAGAATTCATTATGTAAAAAAGTTTAAACACAAATTTTTATGTAATTTATATAAATATATTTATCACATTGAAATGTTAAACTTTATTTGTTAACGTAAATTACAATTTATTGAATGCAATTAAAAATATACATTCTCTCGGTTGGAATTATCTTGTAGATACGAAGAGAAACTTGGTTTCGATGAATCTCCTGAGATATCATTGTTAGGGGGAACT